ACAACCTCCAAATCAGCTGATTCTACTGCACTGCTGTTTGTAGTGACCTTGGTTGCCAAACCTGCAAATGGAAATACTGACTCATAAAATACAACATGACGCGAAACATAAATTTTTCCACTGGATGCAAGACACAAATATCCTTTGTGTTGTGAGTTGTAGCCCAGGAATGTGCAAACTTGAGACCTGAACTCAAGCTTATGAGTCTGAAATAACCTGAGGTGTGGGAAACATTTACACCCGAAGACCCTCATCGAGGTGTAATCAGGTTTTTTCCAAATAGCTTCTCATATGGGGACATGTCACTCAGTATCTTAGTTGGAAGTCTATTAATAGTGTGAACTGTAGTCATAGCAGCATAAAGCCAATATTGTATAGGCATGGACGCTTGAGCTAATAAAACTAAGGCCAGCTCAATGATATGTATGTGCTTCCTCTCCACAACTCCATTCTACTCGTAAGTATGGGGGCACGAGAGCCTATGATTGATGCCATCTTGCAGTAAAGCACGAGACAAGCTCCTGTACTCACCACCCCAATCGCTTTGAACCGATTTTATCGTCACACCAAATTGGTTCAGCACTAGTTTTTGAAACAACCGAGACACTATCACAGCTTGAGCCTTATTGTGCATGAAATAAATCCACGTGTGTCTTGAGTAGGTATCAAAAAACGTCAGATAATACTTAAATCCTTTGGAGACAACATGAGTCGGTCCCTAAAGGTTAGTGAACACTAATTCAAATGGAGCACAATAAACATAAGTAGAACTAGGAAATGGCAGCTTGTGACTCTTGCCAATGCAACAAGCATCACATTTTTCATTATATTTGAGGAAAATGATACATCAATATCCTTACAAGCTTTGACAATAGTGTTATAAGTGGTATGTCCTAACCTCCTATACCAAATAGTATACAGATTACTAACACCAGCGAGATTAATTTGGGTTTTTTCACAGACACTTGATGAACTAGCCTCGGAAAACACATACAAGCCATCCTTGACTTTCCCCAAAAGCAACACTTCACCTGTGGAGCTATCTCGAACATAACAGCCATGCGCATGAAATTCAAAATACACCTTATTGTCCCTAGCACACTTTAAAACCGAAAGCATATTATTTGTCACACCAGGTACATGTAAAAGATCATTAAAAATAACTGTCGAGATAACGAGGGTAAAGCTGCATTACCAACCATGTTAACTGCTAATGACATGCTATTACCCACAACAAGATTACATGGGCCAAAGTGTTCAGTTTGGTGAGTAATGTTCTTGGATTCAGGTGTAACATGATATGTAGCACCCGAATCAACCACCCATTGATTCGAGCTAGTTACTAATTCAGCATGAGCCGAGGAAGCATCTTGAGCTATTCCACGTATCTTAGCTTGGCAACACTCACAGTTGGTATTCTCCACTGTGGTAAAATTAGCACCAGTTGTTCCTTGCTTAGGACGAAACTGCCCAACCTCATCATCAAGACCATTGAAGTTTTCATCGAACCTATGCCAACACCTATTGACAAGGTGCCCAATCTTGCCACAAAGTTGGAATTGAACACGTGGTCTCCCTCGACCACGCCCCGTGGAACATCCGTCAGACTGATATCGATATACTGAATTACGATTACCATTAGCAGTATTATTCACTGATCCATGAGCCACATGTGCACTTGCAACAATATATTCTTCTTGGGCAGTAAACCCAGCTAGTTGTGTTTCAGCATCAATTAGCATAGTATGAATTCTATCTAAGAAAAGAGACTCACCACTGGACGTTATGACAACCATGAATGGTTGGTAGTCCCTTGGGAGTCCTTTAAGAATGCTGGCAACGTGTTCTATAGTAGGAACTGGGCTGCCACAAGACGCCAATGCATCACACACCTCCTTAACCTTAGTAAGGAACACCCTAATACTGTCATTTCCATTTCTAAGTGACTGCAGTTTATAGTGTAGGTTCATAACCGACGTTGTAGACTGATTCACAAAAAAATACAAGATTATACTCTAAACAGCATCAGCCGTTTCAGCACCAACGAACTGCGGCAGGAGGTGACTGCTAATGGTGGATAAGAGCCAGGAAGCCACAGCACTGTCCTGAGTAACAAAATCTTCATATACATTGTTAGCAGTCAGCACACCATTATCATTAAGAACCATTGCAGGTGGAGATTGCATTACACCAGTCAACAATCCCTCTAAACGATGACTTCTCACAGTAAGAAGTATATGTTGCTTCCATAGTAGAAAGTTTGATTCATCAAGAACTACATTCACTCTCTTATTGGTGAACATCTTCACTAATTCTTGAAGCAGCCTTCAGTCAGTGGAACAACAACTTCAAGCAGAAGCCTCTTTTCAACTACGCAACACGACTCCTCCTCCAGGATGAATGGCGAATGATACCATGTAAAGAAATCTATGCTAAAAAGGAAATGTATTTATTTTGTTCTACTTTTACAATGATACCATACTATGCTTATATAGTTTTACAAGATAGCTCATGCACTCATACATGCTAACGTAACTAATTCTTAACTGCACTCACAGCCTTAACTGCATAACAGCTAACACCCTTAACTGTTCTCAACTGCATAACAACCTATAGGCTTAACATGGAACAGGTTGCAATCATGTTCTCTCATTTCAAAACTATGTTTTTTGATAGCTTTTCTGTTCCAATTTCTTCATCCCACTTGCATCTAATTTGTTTCTGTTATTTCCATTTGATCTCTATTTCTATATATTAGGGTCATTTTTTCAGTTGTCTTGCCTGGTAATTTCTTTTTGGTAGAGGCGGAGCGCCCCTTGTGGTTTTGATCCTTAACAAGTGGTCGGAAGCCATGGACAAAGAAAAACTGTCGGAGAATGAAGTGGTTAAAGCAGTACACAGACTTGTAACGAGTGTAAACCGAGTGGTGGAATAGCATAATGCGAATATGTAACAAAGGATTGTTGCTGATAAGGTTATGGAAAAGAAAGTAAAGATGTTGGAAAAATAGGGACAGCAGATGCAGCAAAGGACTTATAGTGAAAATCGAAACTGAAGCGAGGGAAGTAGAGAGAGAAGCAATGTATCATAAAAAATGTAAAGACTTTCAAAATCAACTTCAAGCTATGATGCAGATGATACGACAAAATCAACCCCATAGTCCACTATCTTAGGTGTATTTTAGATATATGTTTTGTTTGTTCTAGTTAACAATGTTGAACTACATTATATTTCACTTTAATGTAAACTTTGATTTATTATTATGGATTTCAAGTTTATTGGATAATGCTACAATTTTAAATTTTAAATTTGAGTAATAAAAGAACAGAAAACAATATTTGAAAAATCAGTTTTAATTAGCGGCGTTTGTATAATAAAATGCCACTAAATACATGGTTAATACCGACGTTTGTAGAACAAAATGCCACTAAAGTTCAAGATCTTTTGTGGCGCTTACACAGAAAACACCGCTAAAGATTTAGCAGCGTTTTTGTGAACATTTAGCAGCGTTTTTGTGAACAAACGCCACGAAAGAAAAAATAAATAGCGGGATTTTGAAGAAATGCCGCTAAAGATCATAACTTTTAGCGGCATTTGTGAAAAACGCCGCTAAAAAGCATAAGCTTTAGCAGATTTTGCGGCTTTTTTTAACGGCGCTTTTTGCGATTATTTTTTTGCTCGAGCAGGGTTTTTTGCGTGCTTAAAAACGTTGCTAAAAACTTATTTTGTTATAGTAAATGATATAAAAACTAAATTTTAGATATTATTTTAAAAGAATTAATAATTTAAGTATTAAAACATACTAAAATTTAAATTTAAATATTAAACTTGTAATTTAATATTTTATTTATTAAGAAAGGTGTCCAACAAAAACATGACAAAGTCAAAACGTAACAACCCAAAAGAACGTGAGTTGTGTCAACGGAGTTCCGTTTGTTCTTTTCTGTATAAGTCGCGTTTGATTGATTTATGCATTGGATTCTTTTGGTTGCCTTTCCACACTAAAAGCTGTGCAAACCGCGTTGATAAACAGAAGCAAACGACTTTAGATTATAATTTATGATAAGTTACGTGTTTAGTATTTAAATTATTAATTTTAATATTTAATATTTTAATTTTTTTATAAAATTATTTAATATTTAGTTTTATTTTATTTTAGTATCCCGTTAAAATTTTAATATTAAATTTTGAAAAAAAATTAAAAGTTTAGGTACTGAAACAGGTCAAAATTGATAATTTATGTATTAAACGCGTTAAATTTTTAACAACGGATACTAAAATAAAACAAAAACTAAACTTATACATGATTTTAAAAAAAAGTAAGAGTTTAAGTACTAAAACGATCGATAGTTTAAATAATACACATAATTTACCCTAGAATTTAATTTAAATTAATTGTTTTTATAAGGAAAAAATAGTTTAATAATATTTGTAAAATATAATATTCTCATGTAAGATGTAAGATTGATTATTTTCTCATCTAAAATAAATATAATATAACCAATAACTAATTTGTCTCGTAAGATTAAACTCTAAATCCTTAAGTTTAGGAGTTTAACATTAACTTTTTCTATTAGAACAAACTAAGTTGAAAGAGTCACCCTTTCTCTACGGTATCCAATTTATATTAGTCGATCAATGAATCAGATATCATTAATTAATTAAAAAAATAAATACATTATAACCAACAATTAGTTGGTTTAATGGGATGGACAATAGATCTGTTAAACAAGTTCAATAGATCTGTTAAACAAGTTCAGGGATTCAAATCTTGACATTTACAAATGGAGCAAACTGTATTAAGAGATTCTCACTTACCTCTTCAATACATGATCTGAATTAGTCTATCAATAAATCAAATATCAATTAATTAAAAAAAATAAATACAATATTATATTATACAAAAAAAAATTCAGAAAGCACAATAATTTCTAAAAGATAATGTCTTCTCTAAATTTCATATATACATACAAAATTATGCCTTCCCAAAAAATACTAAAAACATCGTATCTAATAAACAAAAGAAAAAATATATATTAATTTAATCAAATTTGTACGCAAACACAAAATATCTTACAATCAAATATTCCCGATAGTCAACAACCAAAATCTGCCACGTGTACTTTCTCATCCTTTTCAGATAACCTTCAGCCTGATTGGACTGTCTCGATAAGCTAAAAATAGCCACGTGACTAAAACTTGTTTCTCTGAGTCACTCCCCGAGTCAACTATGACTTTGCCGAGTCTCGTCTACTCCTCGCTCCATATCCGACTCGGATACGGTGGCGTTTATTGGTGAAGGGCAAGGACTCGTCCCACTGCCTCTCCTGTCTCTACTCAGTATCCTCTTAAACGACAATATTCTACTCATCGGCGATTTATAAGATTGACTCGACCCCGAGTCACACCCACTCGACTCACCTATGAAACCTTCGATATTCCGTTTAGGGACCTCAATTGATAGCTTCCTCCCGAACCCGACTGCTGACGATCCAGCTGGTCCATCCTCCTGTTGACACGTGGTACACAGGTCGGATCCTGGATTCGATCCGGATTCCCCGCCCGACGATTCGTTAATCGTGATAACTAAATCTCCCGGGTTATCGGACACGGGTACGGATTCTTCAACGGAGGTCCGACAAAGAGGACACGTGGAGTGAGAGTGAAACCACATGTCGATACACCCCAAATGAAAACTATGGTTGCACTTGGGCAAGACCCGACCCGATTCGTTCTCTTCGAATTCCGACAAGCAAACGGCGCACTCGAGGACGGGATCCGGATGCGTCTGGGAGGAGAAGGTGAATACGGGGAGCGACTTGAGAACACGCGAGTCGAGGCCGCGCGAGGCGGCGGCGGCGGCGGGGTTCGCGTCGTGGTTGATGTATAATACGATCTGTGACCGGCGACGGCGGCGATTGCGAGAATGACGGCGGCGAGCTCTTTCAAGGTACCAGCGGGCGTAGATATGGAGGGCGAACATGAGCACCACGACGAAAAACAAGACGACGATGCCGCTGAGCATGATTTTGCCGCTCAGAGCGTAGCTGCTGCCGTAGTGAGTATCGTCGTCGTTACCGGGAGGGAAGCCAGAAGGGTTCCTGATTCCATTGTTGTTTCCACTCATGGCCTCCAAGCTTTTCTTTTCTCGGTGCCTTCTGTTTGGTTAGAAAGAAAATGGGCGGAAAAGAGAAAATAATTTGGAGGATAAAAAGGAAATGGAAGCAGAGGAAAGTTCTTGAGGGTTTCTTAAGTAAAGGGATTTGAATTTCCTTGCACCTGCCATTTCAGTCTACCACCAGCACGTCACCTTTGACGCGGGATTACGTTAATTTACTTCAATGCCCCTTTCTATTTAGTGTAGCAACTCACACTAATCCAACACTTGGTAGTGGTGGTTAAGGATAATAATTCGATTCGAATCTGATGTGTTTCGATTAGTCTGATTTTTCTTTAAAAATTTGGGTTTGGATCGGATTTTATAAATGATAAGATCAAGTTTGATTTTCAAGATGAGAAATAAAAATTAAAAGGAAATGAATGATATAACACATTTGAAATATATTATTAGAATTTATCATCATAAATTTTAAATATGAACTATAAAAAAGAAATGAATGATAGAAAACATTTGAAATTGTTATACGAAAGGATGGTTTTAGGTGCGGGTGATTGTCCTCTTCAAAATTTTAAAATTATCATATATTTCAGATTTGTTTAATATTTTTTATTGAAAATATGTTTTTGTTCTCTAGAATTTTACGCGTCCTTGAAATTTTATTAATTTAAATTCGTTATCTAACATAAAATCTTGTGTCCGTCTCTGATTATAGGGAAATTTAAGATAATATATAGGATTTTTTATTTTTATATATATAAATATCATTGTTCTATTTCTTCCTTAGTATTGATTATCAGTATTAATTATCATGGTAGTTAGCCTTTCGCATCAGAAGCTTATTTGAGAGGACCATGCGAAAACAGGAAAAATTATATTCTGGATCCCTATATTATATTTAAATGTGAGATTTAACCCTTTCACCTTAATTTAATACAACTAAATCCTTTTATTCTTAAAAATCCCTTTGTGGTAACTTTGTTGAACTATATTTTATAATGATTTGATATAACAAATTAAATGCAAAATGTTTTTGGACTTAATTGAATTTGTTCAAAGATTTCAAAAATAATTCAAAGTCCATTAAACTAAGATTTGAGCACAAAATTGTTTTTCAAAGTCCATTAACTTAGTGAATTTGTTGGAAAATCCTAAGTGATGAGCTTAGGTAGTGGATGTAGATTTAATTGTGAAGTCGAACCACTATAAATCCTTATGCAAATTTCCTTATCTTTATACTCATTACTCCTTAAATTTTAAATTGTCAATTCACCCCCTCAAAGTAAATCATTCGTTTGTCAATTTGAGCTTCTTAAATTCTAACAAACTTAGATTAAAAAAATTTAATCGGAACCGTCAATAACATTAACTACTTGGTCTAACTAATTAAACTGTAAAAATAGAGAGACTAAATTTACCAAATTAAAATATGGTAACTTAGATTCAAACATAACAGAAGGATCACAATCATAATTTAACCCAAAAATATTATACCTCATCCACAACTTAAAATATCCAAGGCACGTGGTGCTTTGACGTGATGTTTCCATTCACATTTACCAGAGAATTCAATTCACTACAGCATCTTTCACACATAATGGTTTGTCTGAAATAAAGAAGGGTTGGCACTGGGTGTGATTATCGAGCGGGTAGGTCACGAGTTAGGTTGCGTTCGACTCGTAATCGTTAAAAAAAATTTGTTGTTTGACTCGACTAGTTGCTCGTTAAACTCGTTAAAATTTTGTTCAACTCATGCTCATTAAAAAACTTATTGATTGACTCATTGCTTGTTAAGCTCGTTACTCGTAAGTTCGATGCTCGTTACTCGTAAGTTTGATGCTCGTTTACTCATTAAGCTCGATGCTCGTTGTTCACCTCATTGCTCGTTAAGATCGATGCTCGTTAAGATCGATGCTTGTTGCTTGTCCCGTTGCTCGTTAAGTTCACTGAAATTTTTAACTTATTTTCTTAACTATAGGTAAAATCTACTAATACACTATACATAGCTTAATATAAACATAAATTAATAAATTTAATCAAAAAAATTATCAAAAGAGTGTCCGAAGTATTTTCAAAATATAAATTCCAAAGTAACAATCTACAATTACATTAAAATAATAAATAGTGTTTGATTTTTTAATGTAGTAAAATATTAATTAATAATTTAGTATTTTTTTGTTGTTTATTAAAAATTAATAGATTAGTAATTTATCACATTTTTTATTATCTATTAGTAAATTAGTAATTTTTTGAATGAAATAAATTTTTAAGATAACTACTAAAAAATTAACGAGTTACTCACGAACTTATCGAGTCGAGTTTGACTTTGCTCGACTCAACTCGTTAAGGTCTCGCGTCGAGTTCGAATTCGAATTAAGTCAACCCGAGTCGAGTTTTTATCGAGTTTTGACTGAATTGAGTTCAAACTGCTCAACGTTAAAAATTGACGGTCACCTGCTTTTTCATTGCGTTTCAAACTTATATTTTTCGTTAAAAATTGACAGTATTCTGAGCTTAACGTTAACGTGTTAATTGTGATATGATAAAATTTGATCCTAAAATCTCAAACGACTATTTTATCTCAGTCATCATGCTAACGTTCAATTTAGACAACCACTACTTTTTAACCGAAAAAGATGACTTTAGAATATAATAAATAGTTGAGTGATTGTTTATAACTTTTAATAGTCGATGGACTTAATAAAATAATATTTTATAATTAAAAATTTTATTTTATAATTTTTAATAGTTGAAAAACTTAATAAAACGATATTATGTACTCGGAACCATTTGGATATGATAACCACATTTTTCAGTAAATTCTTAGTTCAAATAAGTAGTATGCCCATCTGAAATCCAAAGGATTTGCCACTATCCAACGGCCGTTCCCACAAAAAAGAAGGCCAAAAATCTATTTCCCTTGTCTTATAAACTTGACCAAAATACAACTTCGTCGGCAAATTTTCATACCCATAGAGCAAAAATAAGAGAAAAAAATTGTCAAACAAGTCCCCAATCTTCCCCATGATTAAGCCTCAACACTTCAGTGACTATGGCTTTGACCCTCAAATCGACTATTTTCAGGTCCCCAAAGAAGTTCTTTTTTTACAAAAAGCTTCCATTTTTATGATTCTCTGTTATCTTCTTCACTAATCCATTTTCAATTTTTTTTAAAAACCCCAGGTTTTGGAAGAAGCAAGGAAGCACAAGAAAGAATCATCATCATCATCGAGATCCATTGATTCCCTCCACTTCAAGCTCCAGAAAACCGTTTCAAAAGACGAACACTTTTCCCGGAAAACAAACAGTCTCAAGGCCAATAACAAGAAGAAACGTTGGTGGTGGAAAAAACGACCTCTTTTTCTTCAAGTGGAAGAATGGGGTTGTAGTATTAGTGGTCTAGATCTTGGGTCGAGCCCGACGTTCATCGAGCCTGGGCTCGAGCTTTCCGAGCTTCGATATCGGGTCCGGTTTACGTAACCGATAGCCGAAGCGGTTCGGGTTCAACCACACCCTGTAGAATCACTAACCGTCCATCTTCAGGTCCATTGGAGACTCCATATTTGAGTCTCAGGGAACTTAACATGGGGAAACAGCAAAGGGTTTCCACTTCTGCAATGCCCATATTTCTGGTCTCTTGAGGAATTCATCTTGTTTTTAAGGTCCCTTTTAATGGCAGAATACAGCTTCAACTCCATGATTGTTGCTGCTAAAGCTTGAAGCTTCAACTCCATCAAGTATTAAACGAAAAAAAGGACGAGTTTGGATTACAATGACTATTTGAGTTATCATTTTATAACTTTTAATAGTCGGAGCAAAAAAGAAATGTCATATAATCGAATGATCATTTTATAATTTTTAATAGTCGAGAGATTTAATAAACCAACATTCTGTAATCAAGGGTTTATTTGTATATTTTACCCTAAAAACATTAGTTGGATGACCAAAATAAAAATATAAGAATAAACGAGATACCAAATATGTTATTTACCCTAAACTTTATTGTGGCCTGCACTACAAACTTTTCCTACCTGTTGATATTTACGTAACTTGTTCCTTGCACATGGGATAATTTACATGGCTTTGTGTTTGAAAACTATTTGACCAATCCCCCCCCAATCTATTAAAGCTTTTGTCCAATTAAAATTGGATAAAAATAACTTTTATCGAGTTTTGTTAAAAATCTCTCTAAATCTAATAGGAAGAAAAGAGTATTCAGAATAGTATTACAACAAAGCGTTTAATAAAAATTCAATGGATAAACCAATCAGCCAACCTAGCACCTTGTTCCGGGTTTCGCCTTGATTAATCTAGATCGACCCAAGTCACACACCTAGTTTTGATAAGTGAATCTTTTAACGGGTATTTTTTACATATGCAAAGACTCGAACATAAGACCTTACTTAAACGATATCAAACTGCTTATAATTTGAATAAATCTTCGTTGATATCGACCTCCTTTGTTAAACCTATAATTTTGTAAGGAAAAGAACCGTTTGGGCCCTAACTCACCTCATGAACGAACCACTAGAGAAGTTCACATCCACCAATACCTTCACAGGTTTGGGCTACAATTTTCCATATATGGAATTTTCAGCTACAATGTTAAAAAAACACTAATAATGAACTTAATCAACAGTTAATAATAATAATAATAATTTGAATAGAAAAATCAACAAAGCTAAGAAATTAGCTTTTTTATTCAAAAATATACAAACAAAACAACAACCGATGATGAATGATAAATACCATCAACACTATCATAGTAATAAAATATGACAATATAATAGTAACTAATTTTATCACGACTCTAGCACGATATATGACAAAATTAACCCAGAAATTCAAAATAGAAATACATAAAAAATAATTAAATAATTTTAAAATAAAAAAGTCAAATAAATAAATAGAAAAGTCAAATGAACAACTTTGTAGTACTTTGTTGTTCTTGCTAACCTGTCCATGCAAATAAACAATAATAATTATTATTATTAAAATAAAAGAAATGAATTTGCATTTATTAAATGGGCATACATTGGTGCCCCAAAAGTATGAAATGTACCTTAAAGACATATGAACATATGAAAGACTAATTA